GAAATCATCCCTATTAAAGCTAAAGAAGAAAAGAATAGTGAGTATGAATGAATCAACAGTGAGATCCCCAGAGCCTCTTGGCTGCTGTAAACTGCAGGCTTCTCTGGCCCTAAAGTCTCTCGTTCTTTATTTTTAGTTGAGTTCTCTAAAGACCTCCCATAGCACCTCCACCATAAAACAGAGAACCTGAAGATGCCTAGACTCAATTGACAAGATGGGAAGCTGACTTCAAGAACAATGTACCCACTCCCTGAACCGTACAGTGTAGAACTCTGAACTAAAAGATGAGTGTGCAAAAATGGTATTGCTTAATGATATGCTGTGACTCTGTCTCTTACATGCTGATTCCCCATACAGTACTGTGGGTTGAGGCCCGGTAGTAAAGAGACAGCCAATAGTAGTCTAATTGTATGCTCTACCCGAAAGGCCACATCTGAAGTGGTGTGTGCACTTCTAGCTTGACTACTTTAAGAAGGCCTTCAAGAAGTTGAAATTATTCGAAGAAAGACCAAATGATGAAGAGTACACCAAAACCATGCCTAGTGAAGAAATATTTGTGGAAATTTTAAGGATTAACCTAGAAGAGACAAAGCTACTGGGATTGTCTTCACATACATGAAGAGCCATCATATGAAGTAGATTTATTTCATGTAGTTCTATAAGATGCAGATTTCAGGGAGACAGATTTCTTATCTTAAAACCCCCTCTTAGCTTCTAACACTAGCCAAAAAAGTCTGCCACCTGTGTGAGTACCTCAAGCACTGGATTTTACTACAAGAAGCCAATGGACCATGTTCTGCTACTAACAAAAGTTACATATTTTAATCCACCCACAGGGTGGCTTGGAAGAAAGGCCTAGAAGTGTAGTTTTGAAAATCCAACACAGTTCTCTGAAACAGGTAGTTTCAGAATTTATTTCACAGAAATTATCTTCCTAGCCTAGCTTGTCAATGGTCATTTAATAGGCACTTGGTGCAAGCAGGTCATGTATTCAGAAAAGAATTATTTGATGATTTTGTTAGTCATTTACAACCCTGAGATTCAGTGAATCTCTGCTTTCAAAGAGTATACAAGTTAGTTTATTAGACAAGATAAATGCATCAAAAATAATGCAAGGGGGCTACATGATGAGGGCTGCTAACACTTAGTGCAACAAATTCCTGTAACAAGTAGTTCCCATCACAGTTCTAGAGACTAAAGAAGGTAGACGTTGAAAATAGGTTGCCTAGTAGGGTCCACTAGCAAAATGTGACAATAACAGTTAAAATGGGGGTGATCCAAAATGAGATATATAATATGTACAAAATATCAAACAGTATAAAATGGCATACGTAAAATATCTTAAGTCTTCTATTGATTGATTACCTACTGAAAAAAGTATTCAAAAAAAAGTATTCAGAAACTATTGATTGAAATACAACATTGAAAGTAATTTCTTCTGTTACATATGTTGTTGGTCTTTAGTGTAGTTAGGAGAAAATTTTTAATGACATAGTTGGCTGGCATTATATGTCTATTTGCCCTGGCCTGATAGAAAATATACTTCCCTAAACCATCTTTGTCCTCTTTGGTGCTTTTCTAAATGTTAATGTAAAATGGTATCATGAAGCCAGCTAATGAAGAGTGTAGGCTGTCCTGAAGCAGAATATACCATGAGCAAATCCAGGGAAACAAAACTGTGTGACATGAGAATTTATTGGAAGAGGATAGCATTAAGTTTTAAAATAGAAATAAAAATTGGTATAAGGAGCCTCCGTTTTGAATTGAGAGACCATAGCTATAGGATCATGTTGCTGGATAGCGCTACAGTTTATTCTCACCAACAACATGTATTGGTACTTCAAACCCACCTGGTATGTCATAGATGAAAGACCTGCTGATCACTTCCATAAATACTGCTGTTGCTTGCCATCAAGTAGATTCCAACTCATGGAGACCTCGTGTATGCAGATTGGGAAATCCATAGAATTCTCAAGGCTGTACATTTTCAGAAACAAGTTGCCACACAATTTGCCAGGCACCTTTGATTGGATTTGAAACACTAAACCTTTTGGCTACTAGTTGAACATTTAACAATTTGTGCCGCTCAGCAACCTGTATAAATAACAGCCACAAAACTGTCATGGGTCTCATTCCTACATTAAAGCTTGTAGTGTTCCAGAGGTTAGTGCTTTACACAACTAGGATTTGGTAGTTAAAAATGGGAATGTACGATTATGTTGTCAATATTAAGTGGTGGGCGGGTAGGGGATTGACACTGATAAGTACAATTAAATCTTGTACTTATAAGCTTACTATAGCACATGAATGTTCAATTAGAGAGAATTAAATAAACAATAATGTAGAATTCTGACCCCTTGTCTTATCAGTTTGTTATACTGTGGTGCCTTGCATGTTGATAGCATTCCCATGGTCACCTGGCCATTTAAAAAATTCTCTGCTGGGGTGGAGTAGCATTAATGATGGGAGGTCCACCCAGCCTAGCCCAAAAGTGAAGAGGTGGAAGTGGAGAGGAGAAGGAGTAGAAAGCAGGGGCTATGGGCTGACAGAGCACAGCCTTGCTTACTGAAAGCATGGAAAACTTGAAGCACATGTTGATGATCAATGACTAGCTTTTCATATAGATTGCAGCTCAATAGAAAGAAAACGATAATCCTCACCAATAGGCAGCATCATGATAAACAGAGACAAAATTTCCAGGGACTTGGTCTTGCTTGGATCCATAATCAGTTGTTCATGGAAGCAGCAGTCAAGATGCATTGCTTGAGTGAATCTGCACATGATCTCTGTAAAGTGTTGAAGAGCAAGGCTATCACTTTGAGGACTGAAGTGAGCCTGACCCAAGCCATGGTATTTGCAGTCAGTTCATATGCTTAGTGTGTTACACCAGGTTGACTAGAGAAACAAATCCAGGGACACTCATATATGTGTAAGAGAGAACTTTATATCAAGAAGTAATTATCCAGCAAACATCCCAGCCCAGTTCAGATGGAGTCCATAAGTGTGATATTAGCCCATAAATCCGACACTAGTCCATAAATCCCTCTTCAGACTTAATGCAGTACATGCAATGATGCAAAATGCAGGACGATCACAAGCCAGTGGATGCAAAGTCTTGTGGATCCAGTGGTGGTGGAAGCATCTCCATGGCTCTTGGAGGTCTCAGTGTGGCTCCACATGGCTTGTCAACAGGAAGGTGAAAGCAGAGAAAGTGTGTGGCCTGCCTCCAGGGAGAAGGAGGAAGAGGCCAGCCCCAAAGAGCCATTTATCTTGGTTGCCCTCCAATCAAGCTTCCACCTGATTGACAAGCTAAACTCTGTCCACATGTTCCTATGGGAGCCATGTTGGCACAGAAAAACCTAACTATTGCACATATGAAAGTTGGACATAGAATAAGAAAGACCGAAGAAGAATGAATGGATTTAAATCATGGTGCTGGTGAAAATATTAAAAGCACCATGGACTGCCAACAGAACAAACAAATTCGTCTTGAAAGAAGTACAGTCAGAATGCCCCTTAGAAGCAAGGATGGTGAGATTTCTTCTCACATACTTTGAACATGTCAGGAAAGACCAGTCCCTGGAGAAAGGACGTCATGCTTGATAATGTGGAGAGACAGTAAAAAGAGGAAGACCCGCCCCCAATAAAAGTATTTAATTTTTTTTTTTAAAAAGGAAGACCTTGGATGAGATGGAGTGACACGGTGTAGCAATGGACTAAAACAAACAGTTGTGAGGATGATACAGGACTGTGTGATGTTTCATTCTGTTGTGCATAGGTTCACTATGGTTGGGAATTGGCTTGATGGCATAACACAACAATGTGCATTACTTGATGGTCACTGGAAAAAAATGACACGAATCTGCATTGGCCGATATGAAAATGTCCAAGATGTACAATTAAATAGCTTACATATCAAATAAGCATAATTCAAACATATTTATTTATTTGTACCTTTGTGTAAGAGGATCCTTTGACTTTGGTTGCCATAATTATCTCAAAAGCAAGGTTTCCAAGTGAAAATATTTCCAACATATTTTTGATGACTGGACAAATGTGTCCATATCTTTGGCTTTCTTCATCTCTCAGTCCCAACATCCTTACCATGTGATTTCATTCTCAAGGGGCATGTTACGTTATGAGTTGTCAGAATGAGTAACTGAGCTCCAGATTAATTTCTGGGTTATTAGTCTCTTGATATCTCTTTTAGTCTGTAGATCGTCTAGACCCTGCTCTTCATTCAGCTTTTCACAGCAGACGCTTTTAGGTGGTCTGGTTCAAGTCTCAATTGAATCCCTTCTTCACTCCTGCTTCATCCTCAAAACCAAGTCTTAACATTTTTCCATTGCTGGGACCCAATGCTGATCCTTATCTGGAGTTGACAATCCCTAGGGAATGCTGATTAATCTTTCAAAACTCAATTCTAAAATAATGTCCCTATACATGTTAATAAATTATGTTGGGAGGGAAAAGAGTAAGATCATTACCATAATATACCACGTTAATTGCCTCAAACAGTCATTGCCATCAAATAAATTCTAACATAACAACCCTGTAGGACAAAGTTGTTGTTAGGTGCTGTTGACTTAGTTGCAACTCATGGCAACCCTGGG